ATATATATATATATATATATATATATATATGCACAACAATTTATTCATTCATCTGTCAATGGACACTTAGGTTGTTTCTTTACCTTGGATATTGTGAATAATGCTGAAATGAATGTGGAGGAACAGATAGCTTTAGGTGATTTCATTTCCTTTAGTTATTTACCCAGAAGAGGCACTGCTGGAGCATATGGTACTTTTAGTTTTAGTTTTATTGAGGAACCTTTATATTATTTTCCATAATGGTGCACTAATTTATACTTCCAACAACAATGCTTAGAGGTTCCTTTTTTCCCTTCAGAACACTTGTTCACTCTTATCTGTTTGATAATTGTCATTGTGTGACGTGATAGATCATTGTGGTTTTGATTTTTATTTTTCTGATAATTAGTGATGTTTTCTAGAAGGTTTCTAGAAGTGATGTTTTCCTTCATGTCTTCTATTGTGAGAGAAATTCAAGCATGTCTGAGCCAAGTGTGCTGCACACACATCTCCTAGCATGCTAGGGGTTACTCAGGAGTTTGACCATGCTCACTCTTGTGCGTTGAGACTGGCTTAGAGCCGGCTGAAGGACATCCCGTCCTCCTATTTGCTGCCTCCATCACTGGCCCAAAAGATCACCTCATACAGAAATATGAGAGCATTAACGAAGCATTTTATGCCCAGAATACAGTGTCCCTCCCCTTGCTCCTTGAATATATAAGCAATTGCTCTGCCTATTAAGAATGGAAGTATACCGGAAACCTCCCTGGAGTCTGCTTGGTGATTCTGCACTTCACCCTCCCGATCCAAGCTTCAGAACCAGAGTAACTATACGACAACAAATGAACAACAACATTCTATCTTTTCAAAGATTTTTAAAACCAAGTCACTTAAAATAACTGATTCAGGCCCTATGTGATCTCTCCTGCTCCTGAACTGGATTAATATTATGGCCCAAATCAGCTTATATACACTTGATATAAGAACATAATGCAATGGTTACTAGAATATTAAAAACAACAAGTGGGCATCATTACAAGTATCTTGAAATGTTAAATTCAAGGTCGGACACTGTCAATTTGGTTTTTAAGGTTCCTTCTAACACTTTCTGTATCCATAATCTAGTTTAGAGTTTGTATGTTTTTTGGAGGAGTCAGTCATTTGCTCTGCACTCATGAGCAGCACTCTAATGTAGTAAAGAAGATAAAAATGAAGACAGGAAGCAGTTAGAAATCTATTAAGCACTAAACTAAATAGCTGAACATTGAATACAATGGGCAATCAGAACAGAGGTCGGTGTAGGCTGGAGTAGTCAGACACAACCAATGTTTAGTGGAGATGTTCTTTAATGATGGTTATACTTTAAGGAGCCTGTGAGAATGAGCGCACTGGACAAAAGAATTTCAACAAAATTCAAAGAAAGAAAAGGCCAACAGGAGATAATGAATGCTTTTATTTTCTTAACTGCTTTTCCTAAGAAAAATAGTATCTATGTCTGTAAGTAGAGATTGAGAGAATAAAATAAAAATGTTTTGTGATGTGAATCATTTTTCCCCTTCCAGTTTCATTTTAAGCTACTCTTATCCCTCAAAACTCCATGCATCAGTCATCATTCAAGTCCCAAACCCTGAGTCACCTCAGTTTCTCCTTTACTCCATCATTCTTTCAAAGAATCCTATAGACTACACTCTAGAATTTCTACATTATTTTTCTAAAAATGCATATCTTCTATTTCTCACTTTTCTATTAAAAATATTTAATGGGTCTCTATCAGTTACACCTTTCTTTTTTAAAAAAATAATTAATTAATTTCATTGGTACATTTAAGGTATACAATCTAATGACATTCATCATTGGAAATTTGCACCTTTACATAATCCATCTTGGTTCTTATTTTTTCCCATTACCCTGCCCTCCCTTTAACCCCTCCACCCCTTCCTATCTACAAAGACTTTGTATCCATTTTTTTTTCTCATGTTAATTCAATTCCCATATTTCTTTCTCCCTACCCCTCCCATTTCTTCCTTTTTGCACCTTTTCTTCCTATTTCACATTATTTATTACACTTTTTAGTAGTAGACACCTTTCATTATGACATACAAGGCTTTTCACAGCCTATTTCCTGAGTGCTTTTCTAACCTCACCAACATTAGCTTCCTTCCTCACCTTCAGAGAAATCACTGAAGGCAACAAGACCAGATGTTAGAAGTTTATTTAGAAGATTTTGAAAGGTTATATTATGGCAATGGTAAGGAGGATAATAATAATAATATAGACTTGAGAAATATTTAGTTACTAGAACAGAGACAACTTAATGACTAGTTAACTTTAAGGTACAAAGAGAAGCAAAACTAGGTTGATGATGATAGCATCAATGATGACAGTAATGATTATAATAATAATATTTTCTGTACACTTGCTATATATGAAGGAGTTTTGAACCTGTATGTCTTCCCCATTCTGTATGGAGTGAACTTAATCCTATTTTGAATGGAATTATTTTTTTAAGGATATAGATGTCTTTACAGAGATGTAATAAAAAATGTGGTGACTGCTGTTGCTCAGTGCTAACCAGCAGAAAGGCATTATGTGTGTTCTCATATACCTTATTCACTGAATCTGACTGTATGACTTCTGGTTCTTCCTCAAAATCAAACTACCCATGAAAGTAAACATTTTGGATAGATTTAGGTAGCGACAATGATATAACTAAAGATGAAAAAAAGGACTTCCAGAACTACTTCAAAAAATGTCAAGAATGATAGGTTAAATGTGCCTGAAGTGATGGGGAACATTTTGAGGGGAATTATTGATAATGTCTTTTACTACATTTTAAAATTTAAATATTCATTGTTTTTTTAACCACATCTTGTAGCCTGTCCAGATTTATACAGTATACATTGGCTTTGGAACTACATACAATTAAGCACAGTATAAAACTGCCTTCTTTGCCAAATCAAGGCAATTGCCATTTCCTAAACATGCTATACTTCTTTAAATCGGTATGGAGATGCAATTATCTAACCCCAACCCTGCCACATTACTGAATGGTGCTGGTTATGAGCTTCTCGTGTAGAATAGAGCTCCTAATGTAGAACAGAGATAGAGATAAACATTGGTGGAGGGATATGAATAGAGGGAACTTAAAATGGTGTGCTTGAAGAGGTTAGCAAGTGACTTTACATAATCCATCTTGGTTCTTATTTTTTCCCATGTATGGGATGGCGATTTCTGTGGGAGCAACTGTGGGGAAGAAGACACAATTAGAGTGTCTTACAATCAAATCTGAAAGCAGGAATAAGTAGATGTTGTTCTTATTTCTGGGCACTGGTTTCATCAATTCCCCTGCCATTAAATTCCTGGAATACGGCATTGTTGACTTATGCTCCTTTTCCCAGAACTTCTGAAAAATACATGAACTGTGGAATAAATGCTATTACCAGAGTTATCAGGGAAAGAAATCAACATTTGCATGTAGCAGTAACAAAGATCACAGTGGCAGCCAAAATTCCTTGAACCCCAAAATGTAATTTTGAGATCTCTGAATATTCATCTCATTCATATGTCTGAAATGGTGGTCTTTATCCTTCATGTCTCCCCACACAATAGAGAACACCATCTTGTAGGCCATTATAGGATTGTAGTTTAACAAGCCCCCCCACCATGTGCTTGGCTGCTAGAGTGATTTTATAACCTGCTTCTCATATGTTCCAGTCTTGAAAGGACAGACAAGGTTGTGAGATTTTCCCCCCTTCTTTTTGTCAACATCATCACCTACCTCTTTATAGTTTCTTCCTGGGATAACCAGAGGGTCACTTTGCATCTCTAATTGGCACTCTCTGTTGTTGGAACCTTTCTGCACAATATTCTATCCATATGTTCCCATATAATAGACACCATTTGGTGTTACAGATTTAGAGGCAAAGTGAAAGAATTAGGGTGTAGGTAAAGCCATTCCAACTTACTTTTTAAGGAATAAGATTTGTTTACAAAGGTGTTTGTTTCAGACATTTAAGAGCCCAGAGTCATAAAGATGTATCTTGGTATCTGGTACAATGGGCTATGGTGTATACTTCACTCAGTGTTCAAATGTATTATTATTGATTGTTCTTAAGAAGGGAAGAGACATTACAGAAGGGCAAATTTTTTATTCACTTGATATATATCAGTATGGCTATACTGGTTATTAAAACTTTTGCCATATTTCCACAGCAATCAGTAAAAAGGCAGTTCATTTCCCTGAGTGCAATAACTTTCAATGTCCTATATTTTCCCCCAGGAACTTCTGGACCTCCTATGATCCAGCAACTAAAGGTTGGGTCCTGACTTATCAGAATCTCCAACATGAACTGATTTGTCACAACCTTGTCATACCAGTTGCTGGGATTTTTTGAAAAGTGCATTTGCAGATGTGGTGCTTTCGAACCAATTGCTCTGGCAGCCATGTACAAGGTGTTAGAGAAGACCCTAGAACCAAGGAATTCAGCAACAAATTTGTTCCTATAATCAGGAAGTCAGGTGGTAAGTACCTGGATATGTTAGTTAGCTTTCCATAACTATAACAAAATATCTGAGATAATTAACCTATACAGAAAAAGGGTTCATTTGGCTCCCAAGTTAGGAGGTTCCAGTCCATGATCAGTTGGCCCTATTGCTTTTGGGGCTGTGGTGAGGCAGAATGTTATGATGAGGATAACAAAGCAAAACTGCTATCTTCTTGGCTGGGAAGCAAAAGAAGGAAGGAGGGGAGGGTGAGAGAATTAGAATGAGGAAAAGATTAATGCCCTACAATCCCCTTCACAGCTTATTTTCAATGATCTAAAGATCTTCCACTAGGCACCATGCCCTGCAAGTTTTATCATTTATCAATTTCCTCTTCCTAGAACCTATAACACATGGACCCTTGGGGGACATTTAAGATGCAAACTATATGTCTAATGTGTCAAAGAGGAGAAAATTAATCTGACAAGCCTGTCACTCCAAAAGAGACAGAAGCTCCTACAAAGCACATGTGTTTAAGGACTCAGTCTCTGGGAAGTAAGGACAAGTCAAAACTCAGACCATTCTTAGGTTAACAGAGTCAGAACAAGTCTACCAGAAACATCAGTTTATTATTGAGTCAGAAACTTCTGGATGAAAAAAAATTAGCAAATTCCTAGTACATCTTGTCTGGGATAAATTTAAACCAACAAGTGGGTTTTTATAGGGCTAAAGGGATGTTCAAGCAAGAATCACCTTTAACACAGAGTTAAAGTAGAAGCAAAGGGATTGATGGAAGAAAAACGGAAAGCAGTTTCAAGGAAAAAATGGGTAGTTATCAGTCCAATGCCAAAAGAATGTAATCAAGGAGAATGAAGACTGAAAATACATACAATTTCTTTTTTATTGGGATCAACCAGAAATGAGATTGTAAGAATTAAGATAGGGATCAATGAAAAAAAATCAGATGGTATCCACTCTGGACCATTGATTCTCCAAATTTACCAGGACTGGGGCTAATTAACTCACCATAAAGTATATCAGAAGTAGCAGAAACCCATGGTGTGGTGTAGTGGCCATGATACCACGCAAATGAAAATTCAGGAGAACCCATACTAACTACTAATACTAACCATAACGGAGAACCCAGACTTTCAGTTTTATAATCATGCCCTTTCTGACCATCTTTTAAAAATTATTATTATTATTATTATTATTATTATTATTGTTGTTGTTGTTTCTGAGACAGGGTCTCATATGTAGCTCAGGCTGGACTTGAACTCACTAGGTAGCCCAGGCTGGCCTTGAACTTGTGATACTCCTCCCTCAGCCTCAAGCGCTAGGATTACAGGTGTGTGTCACGATGACTGCTTTACAAATTATTGACAGCTGGAGAGTGGGGAGATAATTCTTGGGTTTGTTTCAGAAAATATAAAAGAGGAGCAGCACTTCCTTTAGACATTAAACCATTGGTTGAGGATACCACACAGCAGATAGGCTGAACTCTGAATGCATTCCAGATATAGAGATCAGATTCTTCTTGAATAAAAGGTACTGGAAATGTCTGCGCCAGCAAATATTCCATTATGCCAGATGTCACACTGGGACTTCTCCAGCAGGGACAGAATTCCTATGGAATTATCTCAGAATCATGGAAGTTTGAGTTACTTGAGAACTGATGTCACCAACCCCCTAGAAACATTTAGATCCAGGTTTACTCACTATAAATCCACAACTCTTGTCATGATTCTTGGCCTTTTAAATTTCCTCAAATTCTTCACCTCCAGTGTCCTTGTCTTTCACTCCCTTATTTATATGCAAGTCTAGACTTTATGAGTGTATTTAAATCGTATCTACCTATAGTCTTATATTCAAGCATCCAATTCTAGAATTATCTCCTGTTTTTGGAGTCCACTTCCTTTGATATTTCAATTTCAATAATTTTTGCAACTTAATCATAATGTGCAACATACTGCTCCCATTATTTTACTCTCCCAAGATTTCCTATGTATCCTCACTTCCAGGGTGAGGACTGGGTGAGACAAGGGAGAATCTATGCTGCAAACAGGAGCTTTCTCTCAGAGTTTGTCAGGAGCTGGGTGGGCACTTGTATGACTTTGTTTCCTTAAATGTTGCATCGTTGGTACCTGACCTGGTCTTAATCCAACTTCTGGTCCAACTCATTTTCCTTTGTTCCTAGGACACATGGTCCTCTGCCTCCATCTTATTTCACAAAACACCACCCTGTTCAAGCTAATGCTTGGCCTAATCAAGCCAACTCATGAGAGACTGGACACGCTACAGAAAAACACCCGTTTGTCTTCACTATTTTCATGAATGGATTAAATTATGGTCCTCAGTAATCTCTCCATACTCCCTAGTCCAGTGGTTTACAAAATGAGTCTGTAGTCCAGGAGCATCAGGCTGACTGGGAACTTAAAATATGAATAGTTGGGCCTTCTCTCCAATCTACTGAATCAGAAACTCAGGACACCAATCCTCTTTGATTGAGTTCTCCAAGTGATTTTATGTGTCTTCAAGTTTGGGAACCACTTCCCTATTCAATTTATTCTCCTGCTCTTGAGAGAATTTTATATTCCTTCTCTGCCCTGCAACCTCCCCTCCCCCTCCATGCTCCCAACTTATTTGGATTTTTAGTTTTCCAAGAAAATCAGAAGAGAATTTTCACCTGCTACCATTTAAGGAGACCAATTTACCTGAGCAACTGCTTCATTTATCTCACACCTGGCCAGCCTTCTTGCTATAACAAAGTATCCATGTGCTCACTGCAGTCTAATTTATAACCATGCACCCAAGCCACCAGTACCTCTGTCCTGAATTACTGCAGTAGCATTCTAGTTAATCTCCCTGCCTCAACTCTTTCCTGCCTCCTCACAGGCTGTTTTCCACATAGCAGCTGAATGATCTGTGACTATAAATCAGATGGCACAGCTCTTTTGCCTAGAAACTAAGGTAACATGTCTTAATGAGGATCAAATTCAACTACCTGAGCATGGCTGACAAGGACACACTTCACCCTCCTTCTGCATCACTTTTCTGTATTCTCCAGTCCCTCTGACTCCTGGCAGTATCTAGATAGGATGGGCCATTGCTGTTTCTGAACCTTGAATGTTCTTCCTCAGACACCCAGAAACCTCCAAGTCTTTGTTTAAACCTTATTTCATCAGAGAAGGTTATTTTTCTCTACCATAGACAAAAGAATAGTCCCATCCCATTGAGGTAAGCTAAGGGTCCTATAGAGGGAGATAAAGAGTGTAGTAGAGCTATTCTCTCTTTCTTTCAGAGGAATAGCATTAAGTGGGGCTTATGGCTGCTGAACTGGAGACTGCATCATCTAGTTACCCTATGGTGAGTGTGATCACATGACTACAGAATGTAGGGGTATGATTTAGGGAAAACACATGGACTGGGAAGCTGTAAAAAGGATTTCTCAATATATGCTTTATCATTTTGACTTTGATTCATTTGATCATTACCTATTCAAAAATGAAATAAAATTTTAAAGCAGATCTATCAAGCACATAGAGAATGCTCTTGAAATATTAACAGGGACTCTGATATAGGGAAATGCAAAATGAGCATGGAAGAAAAATTGTGAGACACACAATGATAAATCAGTAGGAAAATAATACAAATGTAAAAGGAAATATTCTCTCAGCTTTACCTGGATTACGATTTTCTCAACAGTGGTGGAAACATAAAAACATTCTTGTTTGGCAGGCTGCAAAGAGATGAGTACTAAAGAAGAGTGCCAGGCAGCAGTGTAGCATTCATTGCCTTGGGGAATTTCCACAGTCCTGCGTCTGATTCCTTTTTATGCAGACCATCATCAAATCTGTTAGCATGATGACAGTAGCTCTGCCTCAGGTCCTTGCTCAGTAAGCCTAAACTCGGAACAAGATAAATCAAATGGTCTGTATATTTTTCTCCTCTGTCTTTTCATACTCCAGTTCCCCAAGACAGTCCTGGTCTTTCCCTCCACCAACAAGTGCTTCCTCAAGATCCTATTCTGTTTCATGGCGTGGATGCCACTGGATGCTGATAATTCCAAATTTTGTGTTTCCAGCTCAGACTTCTCCGAATTCCAAACTCAATTTAGCCATCTGCCAAACCCGGGTAGAATTGCTAATTCCCATCCCTTAATGCTATCCCTTCCCTATACTGTCCCTTCTCAGTTACTAATATCATCAATGTCTCACTTGGCCAGGAAAAAACCTAAAAGACACACTGACTCCTTTTTCTCTCACACTCCACAGCCAATTTATCCGTAAATCCTGTTGGCTTCAACACAAAAGGACTTCAAACTCACACCTTTCTCAACACTGCACACAGTGCTACCCTAATCGAAAGCCCATTTATTTCTCACCTGCAGCAGCCTCTTTTGGTCACCTTTGCTTCTATCTCAACTTGTAGTTCTCTACAGTGATTTCCCCCCAGATTTTTATTTTAAAATTTTTAGTCCCACAAAAGGCGAAAGAGTATAATAAACACCTACATACTCATCATTTAGATTTACCAATTAACATTTTCTTTTTGTCTATGTACATTGGGTAGACACAAATGCCTATTTCAATGAATCATTTGAAACTAAGATATAGGCATCACTGTACTTTACTCCCTAATATCTCAGTACATGTGTCCTGTGAATAAGGACCTTCCTGTACATGACTAAATGATTCTTTGGAAATGCAAATCAAGTTACCTAATTCCCCTGCTTAAATTCCTCCAAAGATTTTCCTTTATGCAGAATAAATTCCAAATTTATCAGGTCTACAATATTCTGCATGATCTGGCCCCTGCCTATCCTATAGGTCTCGTTTTTTTACCTTTCTCTTTTTAGTGTTTTTCCTACCAGTTATACTTTGTCAGAGTAGTTTATACCATGTTAAGATAATAGACAACTCAAATCTCAGAATCTTAATATAAATATTTCTATTCATGTTAAATGTTAGGAGTTCACCAGTGACTGTATTCTCACATTTTTTTCTCCCTCACTCTTGGAGCTAAGCTAATGGAGCAGCCAATATCTGGACCAATATCAATTATAGAAACAAAGAGAAGAAAACGAGCCTTACAGAGTATTTGCATTGGTTCTGCCCCAAAATGGCACATGTTATTTCTGCTCATGACTCAGGAACTTGTCACATGTTCCTGTCAATCCACAAAAGAACCAAGTAATTCAATCATACCTTGTACTCAAAAGGAACAAGAACAGGAAGATTTGGTAAAGAGCATTAATGAATGTCAAGCTGGCCTTCTTTCTGTTCCCTGAACATGCAAGTTTATATCCAATCTTTGAACTTTTCATTTCTTGTTCCATCTGATTAGAATTCTTTTCACCTCTGGTCTTTTTATGACTTGCTTTCTTATTTCATTCAGGTATCTCTGCATTAATAGCACATGCTGAGAAATGCCTCCTTTGACCACCCAATCTATAATTTTACCACATTTTTATTTCCATGACCTCTTTCTTTCACTTGATATTTTCCTACCTTGTTAAGATTTGTTTGAAGCAAGAAACTGATGTTATTAGATTTGTTTACTATCGACTGCCTTCTCCATCAGAATGTAAATGCCATGAGGGTGTTGAACTATGTATTTCCACATTTCCAGCATATAGTATAGTGCCTAGCAGAGTAGGTGCTTTATGCTCTATAAAGATCAATGAATGAACAAACAGGACTAGGCCAATTAAAAAGTCTGATTATGGCTTCTTTCTCCTCAGCAGTCACCGACTGGATGTATCCAACAAACTTTTACCTTAGTGGCTCCATTTTTATGTGTTCAATGCTATCTAAATTCTGATGGATGGAATTCTTCTTAAAATACCAAATCACTGCAGGGTTGTACCACTCTACAAACCCTTCTGTCTCCTCTAGATAGCTTACCATATTTCTGTTCTAGCTGGGTGTATTGGCACATGTCTGTAATTTCAGCACTCATTAAGTTGAGGTAGGAGGATTGCCTGGGCTACACAGAGATTTCAAGACTGGCCTGAACTACATGGCAAGACCCTATCTCAAAACAACAAACAAACAAGCAAAAAAACCAAAAACACAAACCAGAAACCATGTTTCTCCTCTAAAAAATTATTTGTAAACTTCAAAGAGTAGCTTTCAGTAAGACATGTTTCCAAGTCTGTGTCAAATCTCCCTGGTGCCTCTTGTATTGATGACATTTATTATAGTTGAATTATCTTTATGCTTAAATTGGTATAGAAAATATGCAGAATTCCTTTAGTCTCTGATTTACAGAGACTATGGTTATTCTTTTGGATGTATTTATCATTCAATAAATTCTCATACTGAATTTATCTTGCAAAATTACTTTAACTTGTACTTATTAACTTAATAATGATTTAGGGGTTCTTATCCAATCCCCCAGATGATAATTTCTATATGAGCAATTAACACATGATCAGTTGGGCATCAAGTGAGAAGGACTGTCTAATGTGCTCCTTGAGAGGACTTGACTGGGTTTATTTGAAGGGAAAATTTGACCATTTATGGCTTTTTACCATTTGTAATTTTGTTCTAACCCTTTAGAGAAGTAAAAGATCTTTTCTACATGTATCTGAGGAAATAAATGAACTATGTACTAAAAACAAAGCAGAGACATTTTACATGTTGTGTCTTTTCCCCCACTTTAAAGCATTCTATAGTGAAAAGAACATAGCCTTTGAAGTCAGACCAGGATTGACAACCTGGCTTGACCAGTTACCAGTTGTATAACTTTGAACAAATTGCTAAATACCTCTCCTGCTTTAATTCCCTCATCTGTGAAACAGTAATAATATTACCAGTCTTACACAGCTGAGGTGAAGATTTAATAAAAGCATATCATGAAAATTGCCTAGCACAAATGCATGACACATTATTAAGTCAGACTTTAATAAATATTAGTTTTATTTTCTCATTTGGTTGACTACTAACTTTTAACTCTTCACTTTCCTCTAAGCTTTCAGTTATAATAGCTAATATGTACCCTAAGTATGGCATCATGAAACTAGCAGAGACCTTTGGGATCATGCTGATGTAGACTAAGAATGGCAGAAATATGTTGAGGCCATGTTTCCTTTGCCATATGATCTTAACAGTAAGACTTTGACATTCCTCCCATGGAGAAGTCCCTCCCCTTAAATCTGGGTAAGACAGCCTTGTTCAGTAGACAATAAAAAAGTAACACTGTGTAACTTCTTAGACTGTAAAGAGTGATATTGAAACCTCTGTATTTTTTGAAACTCTTGCTCTTGGGA